ACCCCTATGTTCATAGCAGCACAATTTACAATAGCTAAGATTTGGAATCAGCCGAAGTGCCCATCAGCAGATGAGTGGATTAGAAAACTGAGGTACATCTACACAATGGAATACTATGCTGCTGTGAAAAAGAAAGGACTCTTACCATTTGCAACAGCATGGATGAAACTGGAGAGCATTATGCTAAGCGAAATAAGACAGAGAAAGACAAATATCACACGATCTCACTCATTTGTGGAATATAATGAACAACATAAACTGATGAACAAAAACAGAACCAGAGTCATAGAAGCATCGAACAGACTGTCCAAACTATTAGGGAAAGCAGAGGGTGAGGGAGTAAGAGATCAACCAAAGGACTTGTATGCATGCAGATGAGTGTAACCAATGGACACAGATTGGGGGGGGGGGCGGTGAGAGCATGTGCTGGAAGTTGGGGGTGGCTGGGGAGAGGTCAACGGTAGAAAAAGGAGACTTATGTAATACTTTAAACAATAAAGAATTTAAATTTTTAAAAAACTGAAAAAAATAAAAATCTCAGGAAAAAATTAATGTTTATGAAGTAGGGATTGGTAGAATTTATTGTTCCTTATCATGGGAAATTATACTGATATTTAAATTTTTACTTTGGGCATTTATATCTATACTAGTGACCCAGTGCATGAAATTCGTGCACATTAAAAAGGAATTAATTAGAGTAAATATTCTAACATTGCCATTTGCCCTTTCTCTAAAATAGAAGTGTCAGAGATGAAAGAAAATTAGTAAAATGCATATGAAAATCTTCCTCCTGTCAGAGTCTGGGGTGCACCATGGGAATCAGAGTCAAGTCCCTGCCCACCTACATATGCCTTGAAATCACGAGAGACCCAGACCTGGCCGGCCCCACCCCTGTCAAGCCCCACCAGGAGGAGGGCGCAGCCTCAGGTCCTCTGGCCTGGCGCTGGGGTGGGGGGCGCGGCCTGAGGTCCCCCGTCAAGCTCCGTCGGGCGGGGGACGCAGCCTGAGGTCCCCCGTCAAGCCCCGCCAGGTGGGGCACAGCCTCAGGTCCCATTGCCCAGTGTTGGGTCAGGGGGTGAGGCCTGAGGTCCCTCAGCCTGGCGTGGGGGCGGGGGGCACGACCTGAGGTCCCCTGTCAAGCCTCACCAATTGGGGGTTGCAGCCTCAGGTCCCCTGCCCCGGCCCAGTGCCACACAGCCTCAGGTCCCTGCTGATTGCTCGTTAAGGCTCGTTACGGGAACTCAGCCTCCGCTATGGGTGCAGCCATCTTTTGCTATGGTATCCCTGCCTCTGCTGTGGGCGCAGCCATCTTGTGTTACAGAATCCCTGCCTCCGCTGTGGGCGCAGCCATCTTTGCTACAGAGTGATGGTCAATTTGCATATTCCCTCTTTATTAGATAGGATATAAAACCCTAATATGCAAATAGACCAAATGGTAGAACAACCGAACAACCAAACAACTGGTTGCTATGACATGTGCTGACCACCATGGGGCACACTCAGGACATGGCAAGTGTCGGCAGCAGGCAGAAGAGCGCAGAACATGGTGGGCATTGGCCACAGCAGGATGGTGGAGCAAGTGAGCAGGGGGGCCAGACCAAGGTGGGGCGTGTGCTGCGGTCCTCCTCAGTGCTCACACCTGCTCCTGGCACTGGCCCCACTCACACCTGCTGCTGGCACTTAAGCCGATGCTCGCACCCACTGCCGGCACCCAACACTGGCACGGATCGCTTGGCGCTATCAGCGGGTGTGAGCAGGGCTGGCACCATCAGCCCATGGGAGCAGCAGGGGTGGGAGCGAGGCTGCTGTTAGACAGGGCATCAGGGGCCACAGTGGGAGGGGCCAGGCTGGGCCACGGAGAATGGGCCGAGACCCACCCCTGTGCCCACCACAGCCTCATGGCCCACTGTTCCTTTCAAGGTGCACGAATTAGTGCACTGGGCCCCTAGTAATTATATACTTTTAAATAAAAACAGCTTTTAAAGATGAAAAAAAAGCTATGAGCAGTATGGAAAGCTGCAAAAATGCCACAGTGAGGAAGTTGTTCAATTAAAGTGAGAATAAAGCTACAAGCAGATGGTCTTGTTAACTTTGTTAGTTTTGCTGTCAAATATTGTTAGAGTGAACTTGTATGCATTTTGTGGTGACTTGCGGGTACAAGCATCACAGAATGTAAAATTAAGCAATTGGACAAATGAGGTTTTCTCCATTTGGGTATTTGTATATAAACTGCAATAGTGCTTTTTGAGAAATGTTAACTGATGGTTCTGGGTAATTTCCTGTTTTTGCTTTAACTGGATAAGATATTGAGATACAGAGATGATGGACTATTTGTTCGAATAGAGTCAGAGTAAGATAAGAGTGAACCATTTTGAGTTTTGCAACCATTGTTTTGGTCATCATTCTGTGTAGGGGATGGATTTTCAGTTTGGATGTTAAATCACTGTTGATCTCTTTTATTATAATACTATTACTGTTGTTTTATTTAGGAAACTATAGACCAGCATGGGAGAGAGCCCAGATTAAATCACATGAAGATGAGAACCAAGATTAGGGGTCTAAAGGAAAGTGCTAAGAGGCTCTATATCAGGGGTGAGCAAACTTTTTGACTCGAGGGCCACATGGGTTCTTAAACTGGACCGGAGGGCCGGAACAAAAGCATGGATGGAGTGTTTGTGTGAACTAATATAAATTCAAAGTAAACATCATTACATAAAAGGGTATGGGCTTTTTTTTTTTTTAGTTTTATTCATTTCAAACGGGCCAGATCCGGCCCGCGGGCCGTAGTTTGCCCACGGCTACTCTATATCATGGAGAGAGGCAAATATATTTTCACCAGAGCCCCGGTGCATGAATTCGTGCACCAGTGTGGTCTCTTGGCCTGGGCTGCGGGATTGGGCCAAAACCAGCTCTCCGACATCCCCCTAGGGGTTCCGGATTGCGAGAAGGCACAGGCCAGGCCAAGGGGCCCCACCAGTGCACAATCAGGGCCAGGGAAGGATGCAGGAGGGCTCCAGGGCATGTCCGGCCCGTCTCGCTCAGTCCCAATCAGTCAGACCCCAGCAGCAGGCTAACCTACCGGTCAGAACATCTGCCCCCTTGTGGTCAGAGCATGTCATAGCGACAGGTCGACTGGTTGACTGCCCCCTGGTGGCCAGTACACGTCATAGCAAGCGTTGAGCGGCCTTAGCATATCATTAGCATATTAGGCTTTAATTGGTTGAATGGATGACCAGATGACTGGACACTTGGCATAATAGGTTTTTATTATATAGGATAAGAGGAAGCTTGTGGACACAGAAGTAAGGCAGAGTCTCTGCCCTCATTGAGCTCTTACTCTATCTTGGAAAACAGACATTAAACCAGCCACAGTGACTGGTTAAAACTGAGATTAATATACACAGTAAAAGTACAGGGAGCTATGAGAGGATATCACAGGGATTTGACCTAGTGTAGGAGGATCAGGGAGAGCAGCTTGTTTGAATCAGTGGCAATTAAACTGAAAGCGGAAGGGTGAATGAGTTAGCCAGGCAAAGAAGAGCAGGAGAAGTTGGCAGATGCCCCTCAAGCTGAGAGCATAGCTCTTTGAAAGACTTTGAGCCAGGAAGGAGATGGGGTTATTGGAGCTGTTACAAAAAGTCATACTTCTAGTGTGATTAGAGCATAGTGAACAGCAGGGGGAGTGGTGATAGACAAAATTAGAGAGGTAGGCCAGGCATGATCACTCAAAACCATATTGGATTATTTGTTTTTGTGGTGTTGAATTTTATAAGTTCCTTATAAATTATTAATTTTATTAATACATTTCCCTATTAATTTTGGCTATTAATCCCTTTTCAGATGTATTGGTGAATATGTTCTCCCATTCAATGGGTTGTCTTTTCATTTTGTTGATGGTTTCCTTTGCTGTGCAAAAACTGTTTAGTCCTATTTATTTATCTTTTTCTTCTCAGAATATAGCCAAAGAAACCCAAAACACTATTTTGAAAGAATATATGCACCCCTATGTCCATTGCAGTGTTATCTGCAATAGCCAATAAGGTCTGTAATTGAGTTGATAGCATGGTATCATTATAGATTTTCTGGCTTTGATAATGTATCTTGGTTATGTTATTTTGAGGGGGATCTGAGTGAAGGGTGCAGGAGAACTTTCAGTATTGTTTTTTCAACCTCTTGCATCTTAAATTACTTAGACATAAATATATACAAAAAATAAGATGAGAGTCAAAATTACAAATAGCTGGTAAAATAAAACTTTATGATGTGATTCAGCAAAGATACCAGTAATTATTTGGACCTATAAGGATCTATATCAATTATTCAAATGCTGTTTATTGCAATGAAACTCTAATTGTTTAACTCTATTGCGTGCAAAATGATTTTTGTCATGCATCATGCCACCTGGTGGGGAGAGCCAGAAAAAGATCCCTGGCCTATCCTAACTGAATTTCTTTTGGGGTTCAAATGAGAAATTACTGGCAGAAATTCAGAGTGCATCTAGTTTTTACATTCTGGTTATAGGAGATGACTATTAACCAAAAGCCTCAGTAGGCAGCTTGGAAAAGGACAGCAACATCTGAAGCCCCTTTGAGGCTAGATGAGTGCCTCCCCAGACTGAAAAGCTTTTAAGCTAGACTTTCCCTCTACCCTCATTACTTTTAATGTAGGTCTACTCTTGAAAAAGAGCAGATATCCAGAACCAGCTGTTGCCTCACATATAGGGAAGTAAAATGACTGTAACAGAGACCCATACAACTAATATCTGGGCAAAGGTTTTATTCTATATTTCCCCTATGGGGAAGCACCAGACTTCTAATGATCTTTTCCTCAGATATGGTCTCCTGATCATTAATCACACAACAGTTATTAGATTATAAGAAAACAGTGATAAAAGGGTCATTGTACATGAAGGTGGAAGTAGTAAACTAAAATAGATTACACTATTACAAGAGGCAGCTCAGCATAATAGAAAGAGCATGAGGCATTGAACCAGACCAATGCAGGGTGGAAAATAGCTCAAAGCTTTATTCTCCTACAGATAAGACCCATATTACGTAGATAGATCTTGTGATTCTTGGTGTCCATCTGCTTGTATTTTAGAGTCCATGGGAATACTTTGTTATGTAGGTTTTTTTTCTTTAAATATTGTCAGTGGTTTTTTGTAGCAATTCAGAATATCAAAATGCTGGGTGGAGGTGCTGGATGAAAAAATAGATTAAGAAGTACAAATTGACAGTTACAGAGATGTAAAATATAGTCAATAATTTTGTAACAACTATATATGGTATCAGATGAGTACTAGACTTATGAGGAATCACCTCATAAGTCATATAAATGTATAATATAATATTAAACGTCAACTGTAATTGAAACAATTTTAAGAAAGAACAGTTGGTCAGAGCTTATATGTTAGCATGAGACTAGAATTGAAGCTACCCTTTAGTTCAACTGAAAAAAGAAATACTTCACCTGAAAAATAGAGAGAAGATATCTTTCTTTGCATTGTGTGTCTGGGAAATGCTCTGAGCACATGGCAGTTAAAATGAAAGATTGTCTCAATTATCTGTACTAATAGCAGAAAACCTTGTCATAGATTATACAATATAGAAACTAATCCAAAAAAATTGCAAGTGCTTTACATAATTTTCTGGTGGTAGATTCACCTTCTTAATTATGTTTATCATAAAACTTGAGTTTCTGGAATATTCATTAATTGGAAAGTAGGGAGTGGCCTATCTATAACATGCCAGAAGGAGGAGGAAGAGGAGGAAGAGCAGAACAACTATTTCCAATGTGTCTGTTTCATGCCAGGAATAAACTAGTCACTTGAAAGAAAACCTATGCACCTACCAACATCATATTCCCAGAATCTCCATCACCTAGATTTCAGTCCTATTAGTTTTACCATATTTGCTTTACCTATCCTTTATTGCTTAAGTATTTTAAATTAAATTATAGACATTCTTCTACTTTGCCCTTAAGAATTTTGTATTCATCTCTTTAATAAAGGGAAATTTTCCTCAAAAAATTACCAACTACCACATAAAGTAAATTAGCAATAAATACCCTAATAACAATCTATCACACAGCCCATATCCACAATTGTTGGATTTCCCCAAAATAGTTTTTATAAGTGAGGGGTTTTTTTTCAAACCAGTGTTTACATGTCATATAGGTCTTTTTAATCTCTCTTAATGGAGAATATCATCCCTCACAGACACAATTTGGTAGCATATTTTCATCACAGAGAAGTTTAAAAATTGCAGGCCAGAACATTGAAAAGCTCTCTCATGGCTGCCCTCCACCTCTTAAAGGATATGCTCCTAGCTCAGGGGTGGGAAACTTTTTGACTCGAGGGCCACAATGGATTCTTAAACTTGACCGGAGGGCCGGAACAAAAGCATGGATGGAGTGTTTGTGTGAACTAATATAAATTCAAAGTAAACATCATTACATAAAAGGGTGCGGTCTTTTTTTTTTTTTTTTTTTTAGTTTTATTCATTTCAAACGGGCCAGAGCCGGCCCGCGGGCCGTAGTTTGCCCACGGCTGTCCTAGCTTGTATTCTAAATTCGTATTATAGACATTTTCAATCACATAAAAATTAAAGAGAACTATAATACAACTCTATCGCTAAGCTTCAACAACCATTCACTTTCTGCCATTCTTGTTTTATTTATCTACTGCACATCCTTTACATTGCTATAATTTAGAGGAACATATCAGGTTGCTTCCTTCCACACTAACCTGGGCACATATAACAATACTAATGATGATCATGATGTTGATTATTTGATTACCTGTTTATTGTCTATCCTAGAGTTTTATCAGCATGAAAAGAAGAATCTTGCTTTCTGCTACCTGGCTATCACCTAAAATGGTGCCTGACTGCCACATAGTAAATGTTCAGTAGCTTTTAAAAATAAATGCAAGAACAATGAAGTATCTTGAGCACAGAGAGATCACTTAGAGCAGGGCCTGGCATTAAGTGCCAGCTCTCAGCCAGATAGCTGTAAATAGATCCCATTATTTAAATAGTTACTTACTGTGACTACCACTGTGCTAAGGAACCCTTGCAGCATTATTCTCTCAAACCCTCAAATTACTTAATAAGTTCCAGTGAAAATATGAACATATTCATCTCAAATGGAAGAAAATTTGATGAACAATGAGATGGCATTTCTCGTCACTCAGATCATTTTATTTAATCAGAGATGGGGATAGTATCTAGTGTTGATTACACTCTGGGAAAGAGCTTTGCACAGAACAATTGGGAAAGTTTTTTAGCATTTAAAATGCTATTCTACTTCTTCATGATCATCTTAAGATAACAAATCAGGACAAACCAAGGCATGAACAATCACTAGAATATTGTTGGTGATTGTGAAACATGCATAATAAGGGAATAGCTGCAGGTGTATGCAAGCATAATATGGAATATCTGTGGAGCAGATATTTTTCAAATCAGGCATGCAATGAAGCTCATTAATTTTAACAATGAGGTAAACCTGGTCTAATATTATGGAATGATCTCCAAGAGAGAAAATTTTATAAGAAAAAATTAAGATAGACTAATAAGACAATAGTTATTGTCCCATATGTGTTGAACATGAAAATTTCTCGAGCAGACACGCCTAATTGTTAATTCTGAGGGAAGTACTTAGGTTTTGAGAGTACTAACAAGGTGAAAGGACATTCTTAGACTGTATTATTGGATTTTTCTGCCAAAAAAATATATAAAGTATTAATTCTCTTTAGTCAAAGACCAACGGGAACACATCTGTGGTTAAAATATTGGGTTTACTGGATCTTACTGATCTTTATTGACCTTAGAGACAGTTTGTCCGCTACCTGTTTGCCGTGCTTTACTGAGGACAAGATGTGTATCTAAAACTGAATAAAAAGCGGATAAGGCCAGGTTTCAGTGTGCCTCTCCAAGAGAGAGGTCTCTACCTGGCCCCCCATGCCTTCTAAGTTCGAAAAATATATATTGGGTTTGTTGTTCACTGTAGTGAGGGAGAATAAGATGATAGAACCTGGGAACATCTCAGTAAGAGGATGATAAAAAGGATTTCATGGTATGGTGTTTGTTTAAGTGATTTCAGAAAGCACTCAGGGAGGGAAGCAGATTTTGCTCTGGTTTGGATGTTGTCGGGAAGCAGGGAGATTTCAATGATTGGGTATCTCAGTAAACCTTAAATAGAAGGAAAGAACAATAGGTGAAGCTAAAACTGTAATATTAACCAGTATAGAGGGATGTTTGATCATTTTTACAATATGGACAATATTCGTGTTTTTGTCTGTATTCAGGTATGACTACTGAGTGGTCTTATTTTTGTTTTGATCCATTATGCTAACAAGGTGGCCTTGTCTGCTATTGATGTTCTAAGAAATAATTCAATGAGAGAACAGTAAGGCCTTGCTATGAGTGCCAGGCGGCTCCTAGCAACAACAGGGCTTAGTTGATATTATTAGACCCAACTCCTGGATGTCAGGGCTGCTTTGCTCTTTCTCAATACCACTTCCCCTTAGCCAAGGACAGACAACATCGACCTCAGAATATTTATCCATAATGTGCATATTTTACCATTGTCAAGATTTTGATCATCAGGAATTTGTTTAGAGAATGGCGTCTATAGTTGGATGAGGATTAATTTTTCCTGCTTCTTTTGTTGTAGGATCATTTAATGTGACAATGGCTATAGAGTAGCATATAAGAATCAGGACAGCCCTGGCTGGTTTGGCTCAGTGGCTAGAGCATCAGCCTTCAGACTGAAGGGTCCTGGGTTTGATTCTAGTCAAGGGCACATGCCCAGGTTGCAGGTTCGATCCCTGGTAGGGGGCATGCAGGAGGCAGCCAATCAATGATTCTCATCATTGATGTCTGTCTGTCTGTCTGTCTCTCTCTCTCTCTCTCTCTCTCTCTCTCTCTCTCTTTTCCTCTCTGCAATCAATAAAATATATCTATATATAAAAAATAAAATAAAAAGAATCAGGACAGAATATGTCAACCAAATATAACACAAGCAATTACCAGGAAGAAAAATGATTATTTGGGGGAGAGATCAACCAAAGGACTTGTATGCAGGCATATGGGCCTAACCAATGGACACGGACAACGGGGGGGTGAGGGCATGAGCGGGGGGGGGGGGGTAGGGGATAATGTGGGGATAAGGACACATATGTAATATCTTAATCAATAAAAAATATATTTAAAAAAAGAAAGAAAAATGATTATTGGTACTTGAACAAATTCTTGAAGTTATACTGGTAAATGAATTCAGTTAAGTAGCAGGATACAAAATTTTATATATCAATAAGGAACTATCAGAAAGGGAAACTAAAAAAACAATCCCATTTACAACTGCATCAAAAAATAAAATACCTAGGAATAAATTTAACAAGGAAGTAAAAGACCTGTACTCAGAAAATTATAAAGACTGAAGAAAGAAATTGAAGGAGATACAACTACATGGAAGTATATACTCTGTTCATGGATAGGAATAATTATCATCATTACCATCTATAGATTCAATGCAATTCCTATCAAAATACCAAGAGCATATTTCATAGAACTAGAAAAAAATCATCCAAAAATTTATATAGAACCACACAAAAACCTGAATAGCCTCAGTAATATTGAAAGAAAGAAGACAAAGTTGGAGGTGTCACACCATCTGATATCAAACTATACTACAAGGACATAATAATCAAAACAGTGTAGTACTAAGTAAAAACATATAGATCAATGAAACAGAATAGAGAGGCCAGAAAAAAAAATGCCTATATCATCAATATTTGACAATGGAGGCAAGAACATACAATGGAGTAAGACAATTTATTCAATAAATGGTACTGGAAAAATTGGACAGATAAATTAAAAAATTAAACTAGACCACCTTCTTACACCATATACAAGAATAAACTCAAAATGGATTAAAGACTTAAATTGAAGACTCGAAACCATAAAACATTCTAAAAGAAAACATACGCAGTAAAATCTCTAACATTTCTCTCAGCAATATTTGTTCTGATATATCTCCTTGGGCAAGGGAAAGAAAAAAAAATTAACAAATGGGACTACACCAAACTAAAAGTTCTTGCACAGCAAAGGAAACCATCAATGAAATTAAAAGACCATCTAGGGAATGGAAGAAGATATTCACCAATGGTACATGTGATAAGGGGTTAATATAAAAA